TTCAGAGCGATACTCGCTTCCTATAAAATTCGAACACATTAATTTAACAAAAGTTTAAGTTTATTAAGAGATCATAGTAATTATTACAACAAGGTAGATAAAAGTGGTGTTACTTTACTTGAAGTCTATTCTTTTTTTGGTTCTAAAGGTTATGTTAAAATCGAAATTTATATTCATCTTTATACAAGATGGTCATCACAAAATACGAGAATATTAGAATTTTGCATTCATATTCATGTTAAAGTTAATGTATATGCAAGGAATGATTCGCAAAAATCACGAAATTTCGATGAAAAATCCAAACTTTACCATTCAATTTTGTGTCGACTCAACTATAAAACTCTGATTTGTTGCTAGCGGTTCGATTTTCAGTTCGTGCAATTAAAATCGATTTATTTCAAGTGTTTTTTCTTTTGGGTTTTGCTTCATTTGTAGCGATTTTGTTGTAAGCAGTGGCGGCCTTAGGGGGTGGCGAGCAGGGCAATCGCCCGGGGCCTCGCGCAACAACCAAGTAGAAAANAAGAAAAGTTTATATTTGTAAGAATTTATGCTTTAAGCTAATATGACAATTCGAACTTCTGTAGAAAAATTTATAAAATATTTGGTGTAATATTCTTTAACATTTAATTGCTACAAATTATACATATTTGAATAGGAATTATATTCAAAAATTTAACATAACTATTGAGATTTGTTTGTTTATAGAGTTTCCAAATAAAAAGTATCCTGTTCAAGTTGTATTTTCTTATTAGTTTATTGGTGTAAAAAGAAAAACCAGTTTTCAGAATCATCAACAATCTATTATAAACTGCTAAATGTATTTTGTTTTCTAACCGCTTTTGCTTACTTTTTCTTCTTATCTCGAGTTTTCTCTTTTCCTGTTTTTTCCACTTAGCTGCCATTCAGTGGTCCAGACTTTACTATTTTGAGAAATATGATAAGGAAGAAAAATATTTAAAATGAAAGATGTAATGTTTGCTTAAATTGAAATTTAACTTGAATAAAATAGTGAATGTTTAAGTCTTAATGAATAGAAAATACATTTCTGTATTTAATGAATAATAAAATATTTGTTTAATGTTCGTTTATTACATGTCAAAACATTTCAAATTACTAAATTTATAAAATGATTTCATTACGTAAGAAGAAACACTCATAGATTAATAAAATGCTAAAATTATTTAATTAACTCATTAGAATAAAGTGTGTATTAAATAAAATTACCAAATTTTTTGGAGTCATTTAATTTTTTCAAGTATTAAAAGCATATAAGTACCCTATTTCCCACTTAGTGGAATATAATTTCATTTTTTGCTAGAGTAGACATGGTTTTTTTCCTCGAACGAATAAGAGTTCGAAATAATATTATAAATTATTAATTTATATTTCAGTGTATTAACCAATAAGCAAGTAAGATAAAGGGCCCATAATTTGGAGGGACCCGGCTTTTTAAAGGTTGATTAATGAATATAATTATATATTTTTCGTTATAACAGAAAAACTTTTATTATACAATTATTATTGTATTAGTGTTTTTATTCTCTATTATTAATAAAAAATTTTAAGTGACATTATATAAGATTTCTTTAGAAGCAACTTATTTAAATCAGGCCCCAATTTAAATTTTGTCTGGGGTACGGTAGAGGCTTAATCCGGCACTGCGTATGCTTGTTGCTCGCCTATCTTTTTGTACTTTGTTGTTAACATGTGTGAAAATGAATATTTGAATTGATACCAAAGTTTTTATAATAGTTATACTTGATGATAGGTATCTAGTTTGACGATTAAAAATTATCAGATGTATTTTACTAAAAATATTTCATCATAATACATATAATCATAATATCTTTATATTTCTGTATTATATGGTGAAATCTATAGTAATATCTAATAACTAGCATGTGGGCCCGGCGTTGCTCCGGCAAAAGTAACGATAACTAAGATAAAGATTATTACGTTACAGTCAACCTTACCCGTTTTCANTCGCAAAGATCTGCCGCCCAGAGCCTCGCAATGGATAAGGCCGCCGCTGGTTGTAAGTTTAGACTACGATCTTTCTAAATTTAAGTATTTTGAACACTGTTAAGCCGCGAATATCACAATTAGTGTCAATGATTTTCCGACAAAAGCTCTATTTCGATAACAATTAATCGGTTTCTTCGCAGAGAGGTCTTTTCACTTATTTTGGAAGATACTTTTCACTCTTTTTATTGTTAATTTTCGTTAAGCCCAAATCCAATCGAATTGTTAAAGTAAAATGGAAATTAATAAATACATTACATTGTTATTCTTCGCTATTTTTATATACCCATTATATCCCATATAAAATTTGCACCGCTATAGTCTAAGCTTTAAAAACGATGTTATTGATAGCTACAAATATTTAAGAAATTTACGATAAAGTATTAAAAATGACTGCCGTTATTTTTATTTTTAAAAAATTAAATAAAAGTTAAGTAAGAAAATGGGTCTTAGAATGTAGGCGAAAAATGTGTTAAGCATAATTCGAATGTCCTCATTTCATTTTAATATGAACACCTGAATGATAAAGCTTCAATAATCTCGATTGCTAAATTACTAAGTAAATTAAGTAAACTTTCTTTAAAATATGCACTTTTTACGAAAGATCTTCCATATGAGTTTATTATAATTAACTCTTGTTGATATTAATATCATATTATTATTATTATTATTGTTGTTGTAAAAATTGTAAATCGACATACAGTCGACCCCTCTATAACACTGTAGATAATTTCGTTTTATATGAATTCCATGTTGTACGAGTCACTTAGATTTTACAAATACGTGTGCCAGGCTGTGAACGGCTCACGTATTTGTAAAATCTAAGTGACTCATACAACATGGAATTCATATAAAACGGAATTATCGACAGTGTTATAAGGGGGTCGACTATATTTACTTGAATTTATCCGTTAAGTTTACAATAGATTTTGTCATATTACACGATAAAATACAGTGAAATTTATATATATAGGCTATATACTTTAGAAATATTTTTAAGTGCATGACATTTTTGGTAAAGATTATTCCAAAAAATAAAGCACACATTACCGGTAAATTATAATTTTTAATACTTTTCAATTGTTCATAAATTTTTAGAATCCAATTTTAAAACCATAAACTAATAAAATGTCGAATTTATTTTTAAATCTTAGAAAATCATTTAATTAAATTTTTTCTTAATGAAATTCACAATCTTTCTTCTTAGAAAATTTTCTAAATAGAACAAAATGAAAGTAAAAAGCAAGAAAAATAAAGTTAGATGACCTAAAACAACAAATGACTTACAAAATTTTACAATTTTATTAAGCCATCCACACATTTGGCACTCGGTTCCAAATTTTTTTTTACTGTATTCTGGTAAAAAAAAAAAAAAAAGTAAAATTAGAATGCAAACTTATATCTATTAGAAAACAAGGTGAGTTTGAAAGAAGCCATTTATAATTAAAATTGACCATTAAAATATTCTACATGAATACATGCAAAAGCTGTTTAGCTATAGTAAAAATAATAATAATAATGTATTTAATTAAACAATAACATTTTTATTCGCAGTTTGGATTAGGTAGAGATGATCTATAACTTAGTGAAGCATTAATTCATTAGTCTATGGGAGATTGCGATTTCACATATAAGACATGGCGATTCATTTAGTTTTTTTTAGACAAAAGCTGTGTCTTATAGGGTGTTTCATAAATTTATTAAATTAATCGAAAATAAACAATTGCTTATTTTTTTAATTTCAAAAATATATTACAGTATATAAAATGAGAATTATTGTTTAGTTAAAAGTCAATTAGAAAGATAGGTCTAATTACGATTTAATTAGTTCCTAGAATCGTACATCCAACCCGTAGGCTCAGTATCATAAATTGAGGCCACATTCCTAGAAATAATAGTGTATTGTACTAAACAATACCATGTAGACATGGCCATTAAAAAAAATATAATACTTAATGCTTGTAAAAATATAAAAATACAAGATGAAATATATATTTAAAATGTTATAAATTGAAGATTAAATACAAATAAAGATTTGATATTTTTTTCCATTCTTCACAACCACAGGCACACAATTAGCATTGGCAGAGTTGACCTTTTCTTTGAGGGTTTTCTCTGCCTACGAATATGTAAATTGATTAAATTTACATATTCGTAGGCAGAGAAGAGGCTCAAAGAAAAGGTCAACTCTGCTAATGTTAATTGTGTTCTTGTGATTGTGAAGGATGCAAAGAAAACATCTAACTTCTATTTGTAATATCTTTAAAAATTCAAATACTATATATTATAAGATCATAGCAGAAATTATATCAGTCATAAAGCGAGTGATTTTAAAGTGTGGATCTATTTCAAATATTAAAAAAAAAAAACCCCAGCTAATGTATAAAAGTAAAGCTTCTTGGCTCCATCTGGAGTTTTAAATGTAAATCAATTTTCTTTATTATTTCTAGTTTCAGTTAATGGAAAATTTATTGAAAATTATGTTTGTAAAATTAAACTGATAACAAATATAATACTTGTATTATCTATGTTACCATAATGTCATAATTTTCATTTTTAATTTATTCTCAGAAAGAATGACAAAATAATTGAGAATAGTCTTGAATTTAACAACAGAATTTTTCTCATGGGATTAAAAGAAACTTTTGAGTATGGCATTTACTACAAGAGGACAAAATTAATTTAAATATTAAATCAATTCTTAACAAAATCATTATATAAAAGTAAATAAATATTTTATAAATATTTTACAAGGACTTTTATTTAACCTGATTATTTTGTTCATTATACTGTAGTTTATTAATAGTGTATTAGAATTACTTAATTATATCAATAAAAATGAAAATTTAAGTCATTTTAAAAGGATAGTTATGTCAAAGTTTATATTAAAGATAGAGAAAATATAACTCACAATTATTTGCAACATAGACAAAAACTCAATTTTAATTTTTACATTTTATGTCTTAAAAAATCTTTTTTGCAAAATGCTTTAAACAATGAGAATTTGTTACAAAAATACTTAATTTTTTGTAATGCATAATTTTAAATAACCATACAACAATATTTGATTGCATCATCTAATATTTATTTTGTACATATTTGTACATAAGTAAAATATAAAAATAATACTGCAGAGCTAAAATAACAATAATTTTCCTGTTTTGATTAATTAACAGTTAACTTTGTTCTAATTTGTTAAATACCCTTCACAATATGTATTACAGATATATCTTGTGCTTTGCATTTATAGTAAATTTCTTTATATAATTTACATACTGGAAGCAATTTTGCAAAAAGTTGGAAGCGAACATTAAAATCAATTGTAATCTTTTATTTAAGATACTGCTAAAATTTGTGGACATTCTGCACGAGCACCACCACAAGGAGGTAGTATGCGAGATTCCATCTTTTCAAAAATCAGAGGTTGTTTACAATATTGACATTCCTGAAAATATTAAAATCTACAAGTTAATATTGAATACATAAAAATTTTAACATATAATAAAAATATTATAATATAACTACAGGTGTTTATAATATTAATATTTGATTATAAAAATCAAATATTAATATTATAAACACCTGTAGTTATATTTTTATTTCATATTCCTTCTATTTGATTATATAAATATTAAACAGAAAGTACTATTTTATTATTTTGAGATAAACAAAAGACATTACTATTTTTTCTATAAAATTATTGTGTATTAATATGTAATATGACACAAGACATACAATAAGACATATTTGCCCTGTATCATATTTGTATCTTTCTAGAAAATTCATCTCAATTTCCTTTATAATTCCCTGTTTTAACTGTTCAGAATAATTTAATTCTACAACATACTGTGAAAATGAATTTGGATAAATTATCATATTTGCATTTATCAGACAAAAATATATTAGAATAAAGTCATATATTAGTTTCCAACTGTTAAATATAACAGAGGGAAAGTGTGGAAATTGGCTAAAAAATGACCTCTCTCAGATGTTTACATTTTTGGACTCAGGATCTTGACATATCAGGAAATGCAAAAAAAAAAATCTGGGCGTTTTTAATCTGTATATATGGATGTGTATGTGTGTATATGGGGGAAGAAAATTTTTATTCGCCTACTTTGAAGCTAAACTCCTACGTGTTTTGTAGAAAATTTTTGAAATTTTGCTGGAAATTTGTGTATTAGGGGAGTGATGCTTTTAAGTTTTGGTGGTTAAATGTCAAGGAGGTGGGGAGATAGAGGAAGGTCTTGTGTCATATCTTGAGTGAGGTCAGACTTAATAAAAATTGTAAATTCTAATAAGAAATAATTTTTTTTATATAAAACTCATCTCTATGCTCCAAATTAAGTTTTTTGTGATTTTACAAGGTATAATAATTAATAATATAAAAAGTTTAGTTAATTACAGATTGTTAATAGACATCATAAGTTATATTTTATATGGATTAAAAAAAAAACTAAATGAGAACATACAGATTGAAAACAAAGTTTTCAATCTATGTTCTCATTTCTTAAGGTTTTCAATCTGTATGCTTGGAAGATTTACAGCTCCTAAATATGATCATTGGTTAATTGATTTAAGCATATTTGTAATTAAAAAGAATTACTTTCATTATGATAATAAATTTTATACCCAGACAACAGGTATACCAATGGGTTCATGTATAGGACCAATATTAGAACTGATAATGAAATTAATTGATTTATAAATCAGTAGAATAAATGGGATTTTTATTTTTTAATACATATATGGATGATTGTATTGTGTTTTTTAATGAAAAACAAATTTTAGATAAAATTAATAAAATAAACAATCACACAAAGTTTGAAATTGAAAAAGAAAAAAAAAATTGGAGTTTGGAGTATTTGGATATTAAAATATTTAAAAAATGGGAACAGCTGGCATTTCAAACATATTGAAAGCCCATAGTTGTATCAAAAGTGGTTGATTATTGTATGTTCTGAAGTTTATGAAAAGGAATGTTTTTGAAATGTACGTAAATAAAATCAAAAATAGAATGACAAAATATGTGCAACAGGAAATTAAATTGGTAATTAATATGTTTTTATTAAATAATTACTCAAAAATAATATTAAAAAATCGCTTAATGCAAAAAAAAATAGGTAAGAATAATGTTAGATTTATAAAGCTGCCTTACGTTCAGAAACAATAAAAAGTATAGTGAAAAATGAAAGTATTATATTATATTTTCCAGAACCAAAAAACAGACTAGATAAACTGTTATGTTTAAAACTCATGTTGTACAGTACATTCCTTTGAATGTAATAGTAAAGATAGATATAAATATTAGAGAGACAAAAAGAAAAAAGAGAGACAAAAAGAAAATTAGGGACAAGAATATCTGAGATTAGATCAATAAATATCATTATGTTAACTCAGTTGTTGTAAAACACTAATACAAATGATTGTGAAATTGATATGGAGACTGTTAAAATAGTAAAAAATGAAAAGAATTATTATAAAAGACAACTATTTGAACATTTGGAAATATTAGCAATAAAAGATGAAAAAATGAATGATAGTTTAGAAAGAATTCTGGATAGATTGTGGCACTCTGTACTTAACATAGATGGCATAGATGCACATAACTATCATAACTATAAATCTGCATACTGTAGAGGAAGGCATGTTGGTTTGAATTAAGTGTTTTAATGAGTTTCACAGTTTAGTAAGGTTAAATATGTAAATGTGTAAATTGAAAGATCAAGTTAGCATATTATAAGTGCCAATTACGAAGAAAGCGATCTGAATGCCTGTGTTATGGGATGCAATATTTAGGTAAGCAGTAATACTAGTTTGTAACAACTATGTTTAAAAAATATATTGTAATAGTAAAAAACGGTTTTAAATATCTTTTAGGTTGTTTTTGTAACCTTCTACTGATGAGGGGCTGTGGTCTGAAATGCAGAATTGTTAGCATTTAGAAAATTGTTATAATAAATTTCTGTGATATGAGTGTTAGCCTCTAGTATGTATGACTCATCTTTTTCTTTGATATAATAAATCCTAATATAATAAGTCTTCATGGACATGTTAAATCACATGTTCTTGTCCCTCACATCATAAGCTTATGTGAGGGACAAGAAGCAAATGATAAAATATAAAAAGTGTTTTTAATAAAAAATCTCACCCCACAGACTTTTAACTTTTTTGCTGGGAAAGTTACACAACTCATTGCTGGAATTTTTTTTAATTCAGATAAAAATATTAATATTTATTGACAATCACTAAGAAATGATTGCAGATTTTTGAATTTATGAAATTTTTGTAAGAATTAATATTATATAATTTTATAAATTACCTTATTACACATATCTTCTCTTAATTTTAATCCAGCTATTTCCCAAACTTTCACAAGATCTTCAACAAATTTATTCATCATTTCTTTAGTATGGAATGGTGTTGGAGCAATTCTTAATTTTTCCTCTCCTTGTGGTACAGTTGGATAATTAATTGCTTGAACATAGTGCCCAAATTTTGTTATCAATTCATTAGATATTTGAGTACAGAACCAAGGATCACCTACCTGTATATAATTTATTTAAAAAAACTTTTTTAGCTCATATCATGTTAAAACCTGAAATCAGTTTGAAATCTATTCAAAACAAACTTAAATAATTATAACTTACATGAACTGGAATTATATGACTTGGGCAATGTACAACTGGAATACCAACTCGCATCAGTTCTTGTCTTAAATATTTCACATTATCTTGATGTTTAGCTCTTAATGCTCGACCTTCTTCACTTTTTAAAATCTTAATGAAACAAGATTTTAGAGTTTAATATTCTAATTTTATTAACATTTGAATAATAAAATTATTTGATATATGCGGTAAACATTAAAAAAAGTAATGTTAAATTTAATTCTCACCCGAATAGAAGTTAAAGATCCTTGTAAAACAGCAGGTGGAAGGGAAGTAGTAAATATAAATCCTGCTGCATAACTTCTTATAGTGTCTACTAATACTGAACTACTAGCGATATATCCTCCAATGCCACCAAATGCTTTACCTGAATTCAAATTAAAATAATATTCATATTTTTAATTAAATTAATATGTATAAATCAAGTAAATGATACAAATTTTTTTAAAATTTGACAAGTTAATTTAATACATTTCGTTATATTAATTGTTATGTAGCATTACTAAATATTTTGTATTAAAAAAGTCAGCATTGTTGATATTGAATACTGAAACTTTTTTATTCTTTACAAATTTTAAAACGAAAAAAAATGATGATAAATCTAAAACCTGGAAATGGAATGATGAATTAAAAAATAATTTAATTGTTAATACAACAGAATTCATTTATTGTAATCATGGTTGCTATCAGTAAGATGAATCTCAAAATTATTATAATAAACAGACTATACTGTGAACAATATTTAAAATAAAAATTTTTAAACTTTTTGAAGTAATCATTGTATTCTATATTACTAGTAACTATTGCTTCCTATTCAATTTTAAAATAACACATGAAAAAATAGTATNCGACTAAAAGCGCGGGAAAACGAGTGTGCCAGACGAAGATTCCTCCAGACATTATTCCTCTTATCTGAATAGAATAAATAAATAAATCACATTATTTTTTAGTTTTTGATTCACTAGATATAATGTTAATTGATATCAATTATAAGGATTCCATAGAACTATTGAAAATTTGCAATGAAAAATTTGCAATAGTGCCCAGTTTTCATTGCAGATTTTGTCAACTTTGATTAAATAATTATACCATTTAAAAAAAGATGAACATGTAAAAGAATCATTCCTTTAAATGTTTATGAGGTTCATATGAAATAAATAGACGATTATTAATATTTTCAATTACTAAACTGCAAAAAACATTTGATATTTTCTGTAATATTTAATCTTTTACCATTTTTTAAATGGTATAATTATTTAATCAAATGTGCTTGATTGCTTTTAATCAAAGTTGTATCACTAGAGATTTAATCTTATAATTTAAATTAAACAAGTAATGATACATACATAGTCCATGGAAAAAAACATGTCCAACTAATTATATTCCTGATCCAGATGCATTCTATCTTGAAACCAATATTAATCATTTAATGATTGTAGTAATTCAGCAGAAAAAACCTTATTACCTGAAAGCTGGAATTGGTACTGAAGAAACAATTAATATTTAAACTATCGAATAAGAAGCATTAATTTTCCAATTAACTAGCTGAAAAAAAATATTTTCTGAATCATTTTTTTTTTGGAAAATAATAATTAATATCATCAAAAATAATGAAAAAACAACAAATAAAGTGGTTTCTTCATACACAGTTGAATTTAATAAAGATAAACTCAAAAATTAAATTAAACAAAGATCACAGCTTTTGAGAGTTTTCAATCCAGAAACCAAATGTTGTCTGTTCTCAAACATCAAATGGAATTTTTGAATGATCCAGAGTGTACATGTTTATGATTAAATTTACTCTCCCTTATGTTGTCCTCACTGGTGACATCAAAGTCCAATTACAAGTACAAATATAAAGCTTCATGTGGAGGATGTGCACAATTTCTCATCAGACATTTCCATTGTCAGAGGTACTAGTCAGAAAGAACAACTAATTCTTATTCCAAAATTAGATGGCAGCTATCAATTACTCCTGAGACAGAATGATGGACAACAGGTACAAAGGTAGAAGAAAATGCAAGAAGTGTCACTTACAGTCAATGTAGAGACATTCGATAGTAACTGTGATTCCTTGGGTCTTCAACTGAACGAGTCAATCCTAATAATAAGAGTCAGAAATAGATCAGAATGTGATCAGACGTGTACCAAACATCTGTGTGTCTCCTTCTAGCATAATTGTGTAGTCAGCTATTATCATAGGCTCTCTCAATAAGTCTACTGCTGTTTGACAAGGTGTTTCTGACTATGCCATGACTGACAAAATCAGTCTCAGGTCAACTGTGCATGTTATTCAAGCATTCCTGCAACTCTAACTGAATTATCTCTCATATAAACATTACCATATAGCCATTTTTCATATTTAGATTCAAAACTGCTGTGTTTGGAAGACAGTGGAATATTTGTGGGTGGTTAACTCTGCAGTATCTATTAGACTTTATTCAACAACAAATAGTAATAAAAGCAACCACTGTGGTAACAGCAGTGGCAATGAGGCATTAAGTAAGTCCTCAATGACTCTTTTCATCAAATTTGAGTTTATCATTATTGCACATGATTAGTTCAACTTGGTGTCACAGGGCAAGCATGTTCTGAATGTAGAATTTGTTACCTCATAAGATTTTTGAGCTGACTTTCTAAACATTGTTGTACATTGCATATATTTTCTTGGCCTGTCTAAAAGTTCTCACACAAGGAACTCAAAAAGATTGCCCAGATATTAATTTGGGCCTTGTTATTAATGCAGCTGTTGTATTTAGCAATGTGCTTGTACAGTACTCTTCCAGTCATATATGAGTAGCTTCACCATATTGGCACTTGTAGATTGAAGATTCTTGGTATGATTGTGGTGCATACACTACAGGACAAATGACTGGTAGTTGCAAATAGAAATGAAATGTTAGACATCCTACTCTCACTTGCATCCAGTCAATATGAGCATCAAAAAGCTGTCAAAGGTCCAAATTTCAGACTTAACCCTCACCATCAATGATTAGTTTGTTTTAATTTCACAACAGTTCTGTCTGTGTGGAGAGTAAATCCTTTTGTTTGCCCACAAAAATATAACAAATGATAAAATGAAAGCAAGAAATTTTTTACATACATTTTAATTTTTGCATTTATATTTATTAAACAAAAGCAATCATATCTTTTGGAAATAAATACGGACAAATCAAAAAGAACATTGAAACAAGTCTGTCTAAAAATTGAATACTGGTCCAAGCTGTTCTCAAATAGTACATGAAATTTTTGAATGATCCAGAGTGCACAAGACTATGGTGGCTTTATTTTGTTTCATAAAGAGAGTATTTCTTTAAATAAAAAAAATTTTTAAATGTTAAATATGACCTTTCCTTCAATACAAAATGCAAATATAGGTTATCTTGTTTGTTTTTTAATACAGACTACTAGTAATAAAAATGAAGTCTTGCCAGTCATGTATCTAACTCCATTCAGGAAAAAATTTCTGAACTGAAATAACATGACTTCTAGCCCAAAGCAGAACTTCATATATAGTTAATTGGGTCCTCTTACCCCTAAGCTTTCCATATCTGGTCTCAACTTTCATCTATCTAACACTGTACTCAATATGAAGGAAGGACAGATGGATGACAGTGAGGAATTTATAAATCTACAATTTTTTTCAAATTGTAGATCTATACTTGCCCAAACAACTTGATTAAAAGTTAATAAAAATATCTACTTGCACTACTAAATCATGCAACATGATTTCATTAACTGTAGAAAAACTTAAGAAAAAGCATTATTATATTCTAAAAAGTACATTACAAAAAATTGCAATGTATTGCATTATTCAAAGAATTGCAGGATATGATAAAACATTCTTTTTGTAAAATGAAAGTATATTTAGAATAAAACAAATTTCTGTAAAAGGAAATAAATGAAAAGGAAATTATCGTAATAAATTTAATTTATTGATGATCCTTTATGATTATTGACTCAATTAACAATAAATATGCAATAGAATTATATTTTATAATCAATTTTTGTATATACTGATAATTAAATAAAATATTTTAAAAGAATTAAATTCACATAGCAGAAAATATATTTAATATTTCTGTAAAATTATTGTCATTAGTTTCATATGACAAGTCCTCTATGCTTTTTGAATTTCTATTAAAGTTATAATTGATTTAAATAATGTTAGACAAACAGTTATTGTTGAATGACTTTTCAGCTATATTATTCCACATACCATAACAAAAATAAGTGACATTCAATTTAAAAACAATTATGAGATTTTATTATACTGATTTGTTGAATAATAAGATTTTTATGAAAATCAATATTAAAGAAAAATTATTAAAAAAATAAAAGATTTCTATAGATGAGATTATATAAATATAATTAATAATTTGATGTCATAATTCTTATTCCATTCCAATGATTTTTTAAAAACATATTTTCATCTTTAGAAAACTAACCAATATTTAACATTCTGATATATTATTAATTATTATTATTATTATACTAATAACAACAACAGTTTTTAAATTTAATGACTGAAAATGCCTAATTCAAATATCAAACTTTTTTTTTTTTTTTGTAAATTTTTCAACCATCTTAACTATAAAATTCCATTATTTCAGTATTGAAATTCACAGAGTTTTCAATACACTTGCTAAAAATTATATGAAAAAATAAAAAAATTGATAAATAATCTCACTTTTATTACTCAAACTTATTCAAATCATATTAGAAACAAACCATTTGAAAATAAAATAAAATGTTCAGATATATTTAAATTTAAAATTACATGAAAATTTTTAAGCAATTTTAGAACTCCTCCTTTTGACAGTACAGATGAGACCAATAGGAAATATATGAAGGTGAAAATGTATATATTATTCCTCTAAAAAACTGAATTCAAAATGATTTACAAAACATAGCTAATATTATATGAAAAATGTCAATTAGAATAGAATGAAGTGAAAGTCGTATTTTCACTGTAAGGCAATAAAACTTTTTTCAAAGGAAACCATTTTAATTAAGTTAAAAATGTAATGTCAAGAATCTGAAATAATACTTTTTGATAAATTGAGCTGTTGCATATGAAAGTGGTTTAAGTCTATTTATTAAATCAAGATATTTAAAAGTTTGGCATAGGTATTGTTCAAAAATATTGGTAACTGATAATTATCTATTAGCAAATTTATGACAATTTTGAAGATCTTGACTGCAAATTATTTAAAAATAAAAAGATCACACAGAATTGTAAGTAATGTTTAATGAATTAACTTGATTTTTTTTAAATGGACTTAAACTATTTTTGTTTGCAATGACTCAATCTGTTGTAAAATGTTTAAAAATGATTGTTTTTAATATTGTTGAAATATTTGAAGACAATTAAATTTAAAATTACATTAAGATTGTTTCTATTATACTTTCAAACATTTGTTTCTCTTATGATATGAAGGTGTTTGACATAATAAAAAAAGAAAATATTCATGAATTTTTGATTGATTTATATGATTTTCAACAAAGGTATTGTCAACAAATATCTAACCTATAAATCTCAATATTGAATTATTTGGCAAGATAAAATGTTTTGTTTATTATTTTGTTATTTCAGACAAAACTATAAATTTTTCAGAGCATGAAGTTTGATCAAAAATACATGGACTATGCATGTAGCTTTTTAATTAGTAAGTAAAAGAGGAATTAACTTGTGACACTGTTATCATCAGTTGTAGACTGACTGCCATTGAGTTTGTATCAAAATATTTTTCATTTCAAGACTTATAGTAATTTCAGTAATTTGATTTTCTTTGATCTGGCAATTTTTAAGTTGGAATTGATTGAAGAGTGATGCTTGTGTAAAATTTTGTTTAAAATTTTGAAACACTCCAACTTTACTGGAAAAGTTTGTCATTTTGTTTGGATTCTTGCTTTAGTGGAAAAGTTGTGGATGTTGATACAACACACCATCTCGTGTTTTCCTTCTTTTTGATATTTTTTTGATAGCAGGGAATTATTTTGAAGGTTTCCAATTTTTACATGGAACAATTTATAATTAAAAAAGTTGATTTTTTGATTAAACCTTGTATATAAAAATTTCAAGGGGGTTACTTACATTTTGAAAAGCCATTTCCTATGACAGCAGAACTCCACTAGTATTACTACAACGTTGTCTGACAACATGCCAGTACATTGAAAACATTCTGCAGCCAATTGTATTGATTGTGATGTTACACTTTCCAGGGAAATTTACATGGTGAGAAGACATGAAGACATAGGGAAAAGACATGGTGAGAAATTCTGAGCAATGTCTCCATGAAGTTTATATCTTTCTATAGTTAGCCAGGTTAGACCTCTTGCCAATCAAAAACAATCAAAAATCATGATAGGAAGGCATTTGCAACTATCATAAGTGCAATGCATAACTTCAATGAAGCTAAACTAGCCCATCTCACATGACTGGTTTAGCTTCATAAAATATTTTATTATTATTAGAAATGAAAAACCTACTAAAGAGAATATTCAAATTGATACAGCAGATAAAATAAAGTGGCAAACCTACTGAAGGCATTAACTGAAGAGTAATTAAAGAATAGATGCAAGGCTGCTTCAAAAGAATGCCAGATGAAAATGCAGTGATATGTAATTGCAATGAAAGAAGTGTATTACAGAAGACAAAAGTTATAATTCTCAAAATAAAGTATTTTAATTGTCTCAGTCTTGTTATTTAATAGTCACATCTCATATAAAAAATACAGTAAAATTCAATTTTTTTTTTAATTTATTTGATACAGAATTGTGCATCTCAGAAAATTATTATAGCATTACTAATATTACTCTTGTTTTTAAATTGCGTTTAAAATAATGTGGATCAACATAATCATATTATTTAAAAAAATATATTTTATTTAAATAATTATTTTAGTCATATTATTTATTTGAAAATTCATTTTAAATGTTAGAAAACTAAACAAAGCACATTTCTTTTCAACATCTTGTATTCTTTAGAGCAAAAAACAGATAAGATTTATTTGCTTTCATTGATAAACAGTTTTTTAAACTTATGTATTAAAAATATATTTAACAAAAATTCTATTCATAAAAATTTATTATTTGACTGATTGCTCACATAATTATAATTACAATGATTATGTCTTACTTGACTGACAACAGTGACTAGTACTATGCTAGACCAAGGTCAAGATATAGCTAGCAAAAAGCGGTTATTTTGCTTATATGCTGCTGATGTATATATCTGTATTTAAAAATTTCCTGACAATTTGACATATTATTATTATTATTAATTTTGATGAGAATATAAGATATAATTATTTTATTTACTTGGTGTATTGATATATGACACTATAAAATGTCATTAATCTATTTTTATTACTTGAAAATTAAACAGAAGTTTTCTTAATAAATGCTACTTTTTTTCATTTTATATAAATAGAATGAACTAAATTTTAAACATTATAAATATGTAAATGTAATAATATTTTAGGATTTAATATTAAGAACTTTTGTATAAGAGTAAGAGAGTTTCCTTTTTTTCAACAAGTTTATAATTTAATTAAAAATTTCAAAAATACAATACAGTAGGGCATCGATTATCCGAATACCAGTCAACCAAAAGTGTTCCAGTCAGCGAATTCAAATTTCCACTAGTGCTTTGGCACTGCAGCATTCTCCTCCTCCCTGCCAACCTAAACTGTAGGCCTATTTTAACGTACTACTTTATGTAAGATATGTATTTATAAGACGTGTTATACAAAATATGTACAGTACAGTTTTGTGTTTAATATATTTTTTCGTAAATGATCAGTTATCTGAAAAATCAGTTATCTGAACTACCCCAGTCCTGAATTGTTTTGGATAATCAATGCTCTACTGTAATAATATTTAGAATGTTTGTCACATTGTGAACAAAACACCCTTTTATTCATATCAATAAATTTAGAATTAAAATAAATCATTTTATTTTCTTTATTGTTAGAATAAAGAAATTTAATCAACAATTTGCATGTATTACATACATCTATCATAACATTGCAAAAAAAATTTTTATACTTCATATAAATATTTGTTTTCAACAAATACTTTAAATCAGATAAAATAAGTTATAGTTTTCAATTAAAGTTTTTAACATATTTGATAATCACTTATAATGTAATTTGAAAAAAAGTCATAATTACCCAGAGTTCCTGATATAATATCCATTTTGTGCAAAACATTATCTCTCTCCCCAATACCAGCTCCATGTTTCCCATATAATCCAACAGCATGCACTTCATCAACAAATGTCAAAGCTCCATAACGATGAGCCACATCACAAAGTTCTTCTAAGGGACAAACAGCACCTAAACAGCAGGAATTTCATGCATTATTAAATATATCAATTCTTATATCACAGATTCCAATGTTGACAGGAAATAATTATAAAAAGATATGAAATCTTGATAATGTGTAAAATCAAGATTTCTAATATCCAGATATGCAAATAAGAGATTAAAACTAATTAACATAAACCACAATATAAAACATGTCATTTACTTTACATATGACTAGGCATTATAATTTATAATTAAAAATTAATTTCATAAAACATGTTATCTTTATTTTAATAATTTGCTAAAATTTGATAGACTATAAATAAAATTAAATTTTTAACTATGTAAAAAGTCACAAACTAAAGTAAGTTCCAAATAATCTAGAATAAACTTTGATTTTAAGTTAATATTTAGTGCAATGAAAATAAATGATATTCATTTTCATAAATGATAATGTAAGCTTACCTGTCATCGAATGAACAGTTTCAAATGCAACAATTTTAGGAACAGATATATCAACAGATTTTAACAACTCTTCCAAATGATTAGGATCATTATGTTTAAAGATATGTTTTATTGCTCCACTGTTTCGTATGCCTTGTATCATTGATGCATGATTTCCAGCATCAGAAAATATATGACATCCTAAATAAAATTTTAATAGCTATATTTAATGAAATTTAATTTTTTTATAATTAAATACAGTGATTAATTCAAAAATACTTTTATTTTAGTATCTGCATAAAAAATAAAAAATAATAATAGTAACCTGGTAAAGATTTGGCTAATGTAAATAAGGTTGAATCATTAGCAACAAAACAAGATGTAAATAGAAGTGCAGCTTCCTTTTGATGTAATGTTGCTAATTCTTTCTCCAGCTTTTCATGAAATAAACTATTTCCAGATATATTACGAGTTCCTCCAGCACCAACTCCATGAGCTTCAATAGTTTCCCTTAAAGCAAAAGTTTTCAATGTCATAATAATTCATTTAAGAATAAATTTTTCTTAATCAATATACATACTTAACAGCTTTTTTAACTTCAGGGTGTCTACTCATTCCCAAATAGTCATTGCTACACCACACTGTTATAGGGCGAGATCCTTCAGTAAATTCAAATGCCTGAGGAAAGTTATCAGCCAAGCGATTAACTTTTTTAAATACTCTGTATGAATGATCCTTTTTTTTCTTTCCAATTTGTTCCAGGAAAAAGTCTTCATAATCAAAAGTTTGACCTCTTTTTTCCTCTGAAATAAAATCATAATTCATTAACCTCATCAAAACTATTTTTTAATAGAGTAAATCTGTTATACAAATATTATATTTAAGTATTAATTCACAAATAGAAAATAAACTATTAATAATATATAACTGATACAATTTAAAATGCCTATACTAAGCTGTATTAATTCAATCTATAGTACAGAAATATTTCTGTCAATTAAAAGAAAATTTTTATTAACACAATAACAATATCATTTACAGTTGATGACTTAAGAATTGTTAAATCAATATATTTCATTTGAGATTATTCAATACTAATAATAATAATTTATTCATATATCAATGTTAAATTAATTAGTTTAAAAACATTTATAAATAAAATTTTTAAAAAGTAAATTAAAATGTAACTAATTTCCACAAATAAACTCTACCATAAGATTTTTCCTTTGTCAGATCTATGATATCATGTTGCATTTCATCACTTGCAGCCTTCATAGTTGGTTTAACAGAAGAAAGAAATGGGCATTTTTGATCCTCACTTGGATTTTCTATTAAAATATTTTAATTAAATTACATATTATTTTATAGTTAAATTCCAATAATAAAAAATGCTTTAAAATATGAACAATAAATGCTAACTTTTAATAATAATACTAATTAAATGTATTATAAACAATATAATATAATATCTGACTTAATTATATCTTTTCTTAATTTTTCTGTTCACTTGCTTATGCATTACTGACTTTCATCAAAACATTAAACTATTAATAGGATTCATTAAAGTCTAAGTTCAATGAATATTAAATAGCTTGCAGATAATAACAATATTTGAATAATTAATTTCTTTTGTTGTAAAACTGAAATATGTAAATTTTATATTTTTACAAACATAAAATATAGTTTCTAAAAATCAAGTTTCTATTTTAAGACTATAATTTAAAATATAAACAAGTATTATTATAAAATTTTAATTAATTTTAATATGTATCATTCCATATAAATGAAAAAATTTATATAAGAAATATATTTGTAGATCTTTAAGATCATCTTTTCTCCGATCATAATCAATTATTATTTAAATACTGTTGAAATTTGGTTTTAAGCAAGAATTATTTCAAGGATTTGTTTATTCTATATTCATTTCATTAAATTTTACAATGTAATTTTATTTTTTATGGATCTATGTCAATGATAATTGACAGAAGAATTGAGAACTGCATTTTGGTTTGTTAATATATATGTTATTTTTATATCATTAACACTACCAATGTAAATTTAATTATAAAAAATATATAAATTTAATGTAATTATGAATTGTTTAGTATACAGATTAACAAAAAAAGGAAAAGTTCTTTTAACCTACTTTCTGAACCTTCTGTTGTTGCAGCAGTTGCAAAGAATCGGGTCATGTAAGGACATTTATCCATATACATTTCCACTACAGATCGACCATAATTACGCACAAAAGGAGCAGGGAGACGCGTTATGAAAGGGCAGGGACCACTTGCTCCATGTGCAGTTGCTCTCAAAATTCCTAAAATTTATAATTTATAGCATTAATTTAATCAAAAGTTAAGTGGTATTACATTGATACAAATATTTTTATGTACAAAAATTATATCTATCAAATCAGGTACTAAAAGATTAGAATATTAAATAAATTTAAAAAATAATAAAACTTGTGTACTGATAATGACAGAATTGTAAATTTACAGAAATTTTATAAATACCAGTATATGTTTTTAATCAACATTCATATCAATAAAGGAATCTGACAGTAGAAATAGTTAATATTTCATTATGTTAATTCATTTTCAATATAAAGAAGTTTCTTATAGTATTTTAATAAGAAAACAATATTCTTACAGTGCTCATTTTATCAATTAATTTTAAATTACATTTTATANATCAAGCAAGACAGGCACACAACGTGCTTAGCACAATCAGACAATTGTATGCTTCTAGTAATATCTGAAATTCATAACACTAAATAATACTGTATATACTAGTACAAATTATTCAAAATAATACAAACTATTATTTCATTTACATGCTTTAGTTCTTAAGAATGCTTTGTTATATTTTACTTATATAAATTATGTTTATATTCTTCATTTACTATTTTCAAACAAAGTCTATGAACTATTTATTCCAAATTATTCAGTGCAATAACACAAGTGCTATGTATAATATTTATATTTTGACTGAAACATTATTTACTGTGACAGATCCTTTTAAATTTCTCAATGCTGATAATATAAATTTATAATTTCACACAATTTTTTAAATAATTTTATACTTTAAGTATATCAATTGAATATTTGATTTCAAAGGATCATCGTAGCCTGCATTTCTTAGTAATTACTAATAGCTACTGTGGTTACATAATGACAGCCTTTATGTAGAGATGGTGCTCTTTATTCCCTTAGAATATCCTTTTAAAAACGTTTCAAATGCTTGTATTGTTAATTCAAATTTTAGAGTTAGGAGTTCGATTTTTTCGTTTATTCTTGGAAAAGGTCATTGAATATGACCGAAAACGTTAGAATGTAATAAATACGGCTGCATATTTAAAAGGTTTTCTTGAGTGAGCTTAATTTCAAAGGATCAATATAAGGATTAATATAAAAATTATGTTTATATTTTTATGAAAAGAAATTTTTAACAATTAGGAATAAGTTTAATAAACAAATATAGTATAAAAATGAACACAATATACAACATGAAACAATTAATTATCATCAATTTAAAAAAAAAAAACATCATTTTACACTTACTTATTTAATATAAAATAAGAATTACACTTTGAATAAAAAATATATTTTTACCTTGAGTGGGTCCTGAAGAGCTAATAGTTTGTGCTAAGTTAACAAAATGTTGACTTAAAATCTTCTTGCCAGATTGCAATACCTAAAAATTCAAACACAATTATGTATATAATAAATTTCTATCAATTTCTTAATTTCTTCTTACTTTAGTTATATATTAAAGAATAATTAAAACTGATCACACAGGAAATAATCTTATATTAATATCATATTTCTTTTAAAAAATATATTGTGTAATACATTTTCTAGTAAATATAATTACATAAATTATTCTAAAAATATTTACATCTATAATTGATTTAACAATGACTTTAAAAATCATTAGAATATTCTCTCTATCAGGTTGTATTTTGACTAACTAATAATTAACAATATCAAATAATTTGGTCTAAAGATATGTGTAACGCTAATATGAATTATACATTCCTGGCATAGGAATTTATATAAATTTTTGTTAAATTATATATATTTTGAATTAAAAATAGCATCATATATGAAATAAAAGCCCGAACATAACTCGTTATTAATCAAATCATTAAAACACTGAATTATCTCAGGTTATATTTCATCTAACTGATAATTAATGATATCAAACATTTTAGTCTAAAGGTAGAGATATCTGTAGATTAAATTATTAGTTAAGTATTAATTAGCTAATTATCAATTAATGTTAATTATTAGTTAGCCAAAATACTGTTTGAGATAATTAGGTGTTTTAATGATTTGATTATTAGCAATAGCATCCAATTAATTTTCAATATCTGATGATTTCAATAAACATTTTAGTTTATTGAAATAAAAAAAACACTAAACCTATAATATTCCAACAGTATTACATTTTTAAATTCTGTATTTTACATACTTTTAATAATAATATTTAATGGAACAGAATATTTTGTATCTTGTCTAGAAGTTACAAAAGAAACTTTGATGTTTATTATGCATTCCTTTTTAAGAAAATTATTAATCTATAATAATAATAAAAAAATTAATTGTTCACAGAACTGCATAAATTTAAAATGTGTTTCAATCAGATCACACCTGTGCTTTTGTTTCACAAAAAAAAAACAACCATCTGTCTTATTTTGCAATGCAAACTTTAATAATCTGTGAGATGTAGCACATAAGGTAAAATTCAAAATAAAATATTAGGTTTATAAATTCATTTTATTATATATAAAGTTAAATAAAGCCAATAGAGAAAAATAATGATATACATAATGATTTATGTTATATTTTACCTTATTGAAATAAACAAAAGAGAGATGAAAAAGAGAGGAAAAAAAAACCTTATATAAAGCTAAAATAAATAAGTTTATTATTTATATTTTAAATACCAAACTTTTGTCTCTCATTAAATGAAAAATAAAATTCTAGTGTTGTTATTAATTAAACTTGTGTAATGATTAATATATTGATGTGTGTCTTTACTAAAACATCGCAAAAGTTAAATGTCCATTTAATCTTTTTTAATAGTTTATTACCAGGATATCATAAATTAAGATACTTGTTTGAGAATGTATTAAGGATATTTGAAATGATTTATTCAGGACCAGAAATTATATTTATAAAATGTAGGATCACGGTTTGACTTGTTTAACATCCCCAGATGTACTGTGAAGGCAGATTTTCTACCACCATATAATTATAAATTATTACTACTTTTTTTTTTTACTTCATTATACGTGTAGATATATTTTCTATTCATCTGCCATTTTCTATTAGGTTATTACTCCACACTTTCTCCAATTATTTTTAAGAAATGCTGTAGGGTTTCTGTAACAATCGCGACCTTATTTTATCCTGCAATGATGTTTAATTTTAAAATTGAGGATTAAACTGACACACTTTAAGCTCTATTAACACAATCCATGTTTTATGAACGTGATAAAAATTAAACATCGCTTTTCTCCTGTAAGCCGTTTATCGGCTTTACGTAATATTCTCTCGTATGTAATAGTTAATTTATTTCATCGAATTTTCCCTCAAATTTAGTTTCCTCGTAGTATGGAATATCCCTCAAATTAACTTTCACATTTTAACTCAACGATATATATATATATATTTTTTTTAAATTTTAGCTATACGGATTTGTATAGTTTAGTGATTTACACGCTAAATTTATTTCGTTAATGTTTTAGCATTCACTGTAAAATATTGATATTACTGACTATTAAAGTAATTATCATTACATCACTAAACATATTAACCCGTTAACGTAAAAGCGCGTCATCCAATCAAGCAAGACAGGCACACAACGTGCTTAGCACAAAAATATAGGTCTACATTGCTTGTTACGTCATCTTCAAATTTAAAATATCTCAAAAATTCCGGTCTAAAATATCTAAAAGCAACACTCCAATTACGAAAAAGAAAACACAAGCCACTTTATTTTACACCATATCCGATATATTTAACACCTACAAAATTCGACGTTCTTATTTACGGAGGATGTTGTAGCCTATTATTTACTAATCGGGAAAAGATGAATATTTATATTAAAAAATAAAAAAACAAATTATAATTCACTTCAGATTTTAGCAAATAAAACTATAGAGTTTATTTTTCATTAATGAATGAGAAGAGACTTTGACGACATCAATGATTTTGTAGATCTTAAACCCGATGATCCACGGGATTTGAAAAATATGCCGTTTTTCTTATTGTAAACATAGGCATATTTTTCTTCAATTAGACTACAGTAACTCGAAGTTGTTTATGTAGGAGGGGGATGACCGACACTTCAACTTTCTGACATTTTTAGCAACTATGTTGAAACGTGCCTAAAGCTAAAAAGATTTTAAATTTCAAATATTTATTATCTAAAACGAGTTCTTTGATTTTTATTTCTTACCTTCATTAATTTTTCCATATGTAATGAACAAAATATTAAATCTATCCACTCTAAAAATATCTATTAAATTAAGATAATAAATACGAAATAATGATGATGTAGCTTTTTATTCTGCTAATATTTTACCGACCTTGATCAAGTTCGTGCGATAAGTACTATAACATCCATTTATAATGATTTATGATTATCGCGGAAAGACGTCAAAATTCTATCAAACGATTAGAAGAAAATGCGTATAAGTCACCGATAAAACTAACTATTTAGAAAATATGATAAAGGTTTTTTTTTCTATTTTTTACTGAATTAAATAATTCTTTTTAGTTATTATAAATCTTTTCGATTGTGTTGAAAGGATTGAAAAATACGATTGAACTTCTGGAAAGAATTCAATGACATTAATACAAAAATATCTAATTCTTTCACCTTTACATAATCTAAATTTAGTAGGTATCTTCTATGATTTACTGTTGTGTATAATCTCCACTATATAAATTTTTCTTATACCTGGCCTAGTTTCTAATAACATTTATATTTTTAAGAGAAAAGAATTAATTAATGTATACGCGTTTTTCTGTTTTCTTATGGATTATTATTTCATTAAAGTACTCCGAAACGTCATTAATAAACACCAAGATATACCTACATACTATTAAAAATATGGGTCAAAGTTGTTTTCTAAAAATTTAAACCGCGCTGGTTCGGAACAAAATTCTTAAAATCCATTGTTAATAACAACATTTATCTGTTGAAGGTCCAAAAACTATAAGACTGAATAAACCAGTATGTTATCGCTTATCTAAACTGGATTTCCTTGAATATAGTAAATGAAGAATGCAGTAAATAGAAAAAGTAGTCAGTATAATACACTTTCTCACGGGCATTTTTACCGAGAGGGAGGAAAATTAACAAAATTTAACAGGAAAAAAAATTGACTGTGAAATTAGTATTATTATTATTTTTTAAATTAATATACAATAATCATCTTACCACTGACGAACTAGTAGTTAGCATACTTAAAAGTCGAACGAAGCACGTTGCGTTTGAATTACCTCTCCGCTCTACCGACAATAACTAATTGAAACGAGTAAGGAGAATAGGGAAATATCGGCGACTACCGATTTTATAACCTGTTTCGTGATGACATTACGCCACGTAGGCAGAAACGTCACGTAAAGGAAATTATTTTACAGAATTTCCGGTTAAGAAATTTCATAACTGAAGATGGTAAAATAATACACTTTACTAGTGTCTATAATTTTGTTTGCGTGTATCATCTTCGCCGATTGCCGAAGTGTAACATAATACTTGTATAGTGGAATAATTAAAATTTATGCTGCGATTTTATATAATGTTTTGTATATAGTAATTAAAGGCGCTTCATTTAATAGTAATTTCATTTTGGTCACTTCCTGTTTTAGTTTTTAATTAAATGCAGCTCTTGAACTGAATCTTATGTTGTTTTTAATTTGAATTCCTTGTTTTGATCTCTCTATATTAAGTTAGAAGTTTGCAAATTACTTCGAATGTTTGTAAATAAAAATTTATATAAAACAGTTTTAATTTATAAAAACTTAAAACCATTTATTGTATTTTATGTACGGTTGACCCCCCTATAACACTGTTGATAATTCCGTTTTATATGAATTCCATGTTGTACGAGTCAGTTAGATTTTACAAATACGTGAACCGTTCACAGCCCGGCACACATACTTGTAAAATCTAAGTGATTCGTACAACATGGAATTCATATAAAACGGAATTATCAACAGTGTTATAGGGGG